TGCAGGACTGGCCTAGGGTAATTTTTAGGGGGGTTTTAATTATATTTTAAAATTCGACAATTATTTAAATATTCCTTTTAATTAATTTTAAATTTGTATTGTTTTGTATGTATTTTAAATAGATTGTCAGCCGCCCTGAGTCCTACGGGAGAAGGGCGGGATATAAATCCAAAAAATAAATAAATAAATAAATAAATAACTAGGAATGCCCCCCCCCTTGCCTTTGCTGACCAGGAGTATGAAGAAAGCTTCTACAGGTAGTCATGACAACTGGAACCAGAAGATATGTCAAACATATGATCATTAAGTGAGGCATTACATGACCAGATACAATTTTACCTTTTTTGCCACAGTGTTTACGTGAGACATCATGAAACTGCAATTTGTAACCTTCCTTCCTAGCTTTGTCATTGACTTTGCTTGTTGGAAGCTGGCTGGGAAGGTTACAAATGATGATCCTGTGACCACAGGATACTCCAATTGTCATGTGAGCTGACTGCCAAGCACTAGGATCACCATCGCGTGACTGCAGGGATGCTGTGATGGTTAAGTGCAAGGACTGGTTGCAGCATCATTATAAACTTTTAACGTGCACTAAATGAATGGCCGAAAGTCAAGAACTACCTACAAGGCATACCTGGTCAAAGGACAAGACACTAGGAATGCCTGCGTACAAAAGCAAAGCATTAGGGGAAAAATATATTTGAATCTAGGCCAAGGACAGCCAATTTGCAGCACTTCAGATATTGATGATCTGCAAAATCATCAGACGTGTGACCTTCTTCACAAGAGGATCTGGCTGAAGAATATTGTATTCCAAACACTGAAGATCCAAGGCCTAAAATGAGCAACAAAAGGCCAGGTCCCATGGATTCTTGACAGCTGAAACCAGGAATTAGATGCAATGTCTCCCATCCTGGGAGTCCAGGAGGCATGAGGCAAAGAATCTTTTCACCTGGTAATGATGGGAGCTGATCAACAGATCCCAGCAAAATCCAAGCTGCAGAAACTGGAGGGAGATGGAACACCAGGAACTGCTGAATTCAATACTATTCAAAAGGCTTACGCCTTGCTGGATCAACTTTTGATGATAGCTCATTCTTTGTGCGGGGGTTCTTTTGCCTGTTTTATATTAACAAAAAATCTGGTTATCCTGCACCAAACCCTTTGGGGCTTTGATGAGAGAACAGATGCTGTACTTTGGCTTGGCTCTGGTAGCACCAATGAAGCTGTTTGGACTGATTTCTGATTTTACAACCTGGATTAGCTAATATGTAAACTGCTTTACAGCAACTCTAACTGCTTGCTGGGATTTTCTTAAACAATGAAAACATTCAACAAAAGGAGCTTAGCTCCTGCTTCCATTGTTTCCTTTAAGCTTAGGATGAAAAATAAATGAAAAGCTTGTTTGAAATTCTCCATCAAAGAGCATTAAGAACAATTCAAGTTTCATTCTAGTTGAACAGAGAACACTCAAAACTGGAATGTTTTGAGTTGTTTCATTCTAAGCTCAAAGCAAAATGTTGGGAGTTTGTTTCAAGTCTTCTTCAGCCAATCTATCCCCAGGTAACATAAACTGGGAAGAGGATGGGAGTTGCAATCCAACACAAGTGGATATGGAGGGGAACCAAGTGAGGGTAGGATGATCTGGAGTGATATGAGCGCAAGCAGATCTTAATATTTGTACTGAACATTCACAAAATGGAAATCTAGTCTAACCATTTTTTTTAACAGACTAAGACTTCAACTGAACCTCAACTGGCCACATTTTCATCATCAGGGAACAATGTCTAACATAGAAAACAATAGACTTCATTAAAGATGGCTAGAAACTGAATCCTCACCTCTGACTTGAAAGGTTTTAAATTTGAAATCATATTCATCTTGAACATCCTCAAGATTTTTTATCATTTGCTCTATTTCCTAGAAAACAAATAACCTCATCAGACATTCAAAATCACTTAATACAAATGGTATTTATGAAAAGAAGTAAATGTAATTATTTCAATGATTCATTTCATTACATTTCTGTTTTATCTTTATGATGAAGTCTAAGATAGGTTCAGCCAAAAAATATGACCAAAGGAAGGTTGACCAGTGAATCTTCAGGATTAACAGAGCGGTAGATATGAACCAAAATGTCCTTTGTCCCAGTTAAGCCAGAATATTCACTGGAATAGTCAGGAATAGAAACCTGCTGTCTAAATATCAACCACTAGTTGCAGTGAGATTTTGATAGATTTAGTTCAAGACCTTGCAACAAGCATCAACTAAGTTTACCAGGCTGGAGAAAGCTATGTTATATCTATTCCTTTCCAGTGCTTTTTTTGTAAAAAAAAAAAAAAAAAGGTGCCAGAACTCACACACATCATACAACCCACCTTGCCTACCCTACAAGGTTCCATCCAAAAAAGGTGCCGGAACTCCGTTCTGGGCGTTCTATGACAAAAAATGCCCTGTCCCTTTCCTACCTCTATGAGTGTCCCACAATCAACTGGTGCTAAAATATATATATATCATGACTACTCAACGTTTTGTCATGTGACAATAGCAAGAGCAAGATTTTGATAACAGCATTGGGAGACCACAACTTGTCCATTGCTCCCAGTCAACCACCCAATTCTTTTTCCAATGTAGCTTATCTTTGCACATTCCCCAGTCTGTGCATCTGAGCCAACAATGTGTTGTTCCCTTTTGATGGCTAACAATAAAACGTTCCCAAGTGCCAACTCTTTTAACGTACTATGACACGATCCTTCACATTTGTGACTTTTGCATCCATCTCTTTCACTTTTCCCAGCGCCGCAGTATTTTGCACACTGTCCGTTTGCATCTAGAATTTGAAATGAAGAAAAAAAATCAAGAATGAAATGTATCACAACATAGCATTTCCCCCCCCCCCCAAAAAAGGAAAACCTCCACAGCAGGAATATTTCATGACCTTTCTTAGATTAATTCTGAGAAAATGCTAACTTGGGTAGACACATTAAAATTTGAAACTGAAGTCCATGATCTATGCAGAGGCTGAACAATGTTCAACACAAGATGCTGTTTTCCCAGCTTACAGAGTATAACTAACCTGATCTGTGGCCTCTGCAGACTTCAGGATTTTCCTTTCTTCCTGGAGACATTTGGAGATCATCATGGCCATATACATCGGGTCTTCCACAAAAGTATTCTGGATCATAGCATAAAATATAAGTGAGGGACTTCCAATATTTTTTCAATATGCTCACTACCGCAGACTACCAGCTCTCTATCCTACACTTTCCATGATTTATTTCCATTAAAGAAATGGGAGTCAGAATTCTATTACAAATCACATATCTGTAAACCCTAGTACCACCTTTTTCACTTCTAAGCTAAGACATCTTTCAACCTCCGAAGTGGTACTTGATATTCAACTGGTGCATACTAAGAAATGTGTGTGTGTGCTCTGAATTGCTTTCTGTTACTGTGTTTATTAAAAAGGAGATCCTCAGGTTTAAAGCTGAAAAAGGAGTGTGTCTGCCATACCAGAAAAAATTAATACAGACAAAAGCCCTGTGTTAAGATCTAACTTCCCACTGTCCAGCCACTCCAGCTGGAATTTTCTTCTTCATAATAACAATAGATGTGTGTGTATCACACATGGAGATACGGTTATTAGAAGCCACACTCCAAAAGATGTCAGACAAAAATGATATAAAAGGATAAAACACGAAAGACTAGAAGCTAACAACTATAATGAACACACACGTTCCCTTTCTTCTTCTAGGAAAAATAATAGAAAAGGTAGTAGCTACAATAGGATCAAAACTAACAAGAATTGGGTGGAGGTGAAATGAGTGTGGGAAGGGAAGGACTCATTTGAGGGGTCATTATAGTCTGCTTAGGATGGCACAGCAAAAGTTAAAAAAAAAGGGTTCCTTTCATTACGTTGTAGAAATAATCCACACGCTATCAAACACGCTATCTTTCACAAAGGCAAATTAGAAAGTGCTCTTGTACACTGACCTGGAGGTTTCGTTTACTCTTTCTGATGTTGTGCTGCAATAAAAAATTGTTTTCCTGGGTAAAACGGCTATATTGATCATCTAGTTGTGACAGGAGATTCTGGAAAAGCAACGTGGCCATTGAAAAATCTTCAGCAGCATGGTCCCTGGAAGAGAAAACAGGCAAAACAATAGCATTAGCCTATCTTCCATCTCTTTATATTGCATAAACCCCAATACGCTTGAAAAACCCAATTTATTTTTCTTTGCCCTTCCACTTTGGTTAGCAGTCACAAACCGACCCAACTTTCCAATAGTCCCCAAAGTACTCTACATCTGGCAGGGGAATCCATAATGAATACACCTGAACAATACGGGCTGCTGTGCCAATAACAGACCCAGCTGGTTGAGCCGCAACGGAGGAGTATCACGATAGACATTCCAATTCAGTTGCATGTACTTATTTTTGCTTTTATTATGGCTTTATTTTTATGCATTGTTAAGATATGAATAGGAATTGCCTATGAATAGGAATTGCATACGCAAACTATAACTCAAGACAAATTCTAAAATACTGGACAAGCCACAAAGGAGTCCAAGGGTTAAGGCGGAATTGCAGTGTAATTGAACAAGATTTATTTTAAATATGCTGCTCTGCATATTAGAGTTCTCAAGTAAAACTAAAAAAGCTGATTTATACCAGCTGCTCTTGCTGAGCACTTTCCTCAACATGTGCATGGTTCAGAATTTTTGTTACGTGCTGTTATGAGATCGAGGAGGTAGCTTTCCATTTCTTCTTTTACAATGTTTGGTTTAAGAATATAAAATACGAGACTGCATAATCCAGTGGAATTTACTTCCTCGGCCAACAATTCAGCCAAAGTTCCATTAGATTTGAGAGAAATAATTCTCATGATTGTTGACTGCATCCTACTTCTGTTTAGAATCATAGCCTCACAGTATTTTTGGATATCTTCCACAAAATGAGACTCTTACCAATCTTGACTTTCTAGCCACTGTGCCAAGTATTGCCTGATCTCCATAGGAAAACTATCATCGTAGAGCTGATGCACAAGTTCCAAGAATTTAGAATCCAGCTGTTGCAGTTTACACCACTGACTCATCCTGTGGAATCAAATGTCCAATTATGTAGTTAAATATAAATCTTATTTATTCTTCCATGCAATCAGTAAAAAATTCAGTTAGTTATTAAATTGCATTATCTGAAAGCACATTTCCTCTTTTCCTATTTACCTAATGCCACACTAACACACAAATCCTCTTTCTCTTTCATTAATGTTAACCACTGTGGTATGTGTGTAGGGGGGGGAGATGTCAGTGGACATTACTACTAGCACTACTAGCACCATTTGTTTCCAGAAGTGGCCTATTTGGAAATAAGACTGAGGACTCAGGATAGCAAATTACTTCTAAAAGTTATTAATACAAGAGAAGTATCAGATACAGGGAAAAATCACTATTACAAATCCAATCAATCTAATGTTATTCTCAGTAGACCAGAGGCAAGTGTAGAAAAGTGTAAGAAAAGTAGAATAAATGATAAACATGCCCTGTGAATTTCAGGTTTATATGCAACTTCCTGTGTACCCCAAGAACACATACTGCAGCCCAGACTATGATTGATTCAGGGTTTATATAAACTGTAGTACATCAAATATAAAAAATGTCTGGTTTTACATATCAGTACCAGAAGAAAGGGTTCTAGAAGGCTGGTTCTCAAAATTCATACAGAAGCAAAACTGTGGTATATTTATCATATCACGTTGATCCATCCAGAAAGTTTGTTTTATGTATTATACAAACCTTACCAATTTTAGTTTAATATATTACATATTTAAACAATGGCATGCACTGTTGCTTATATACAGATAAGGCCTGTTCCTGTAATGAAAACCACATATGATATTAGTCTCTGCCATAAGAACCAAGTTACAGGCTGTCCTCAACTTATGACCGTAATTGGGACAATTGCTAAGCAAGGCAGTGGAGCTCAATTTTATGAACTTTTCTGTCATGATTGTTAAGTGAATCACTGCAAGTAAGTGAATCATGCAGTCATTAAGCCAATCTGGCTTCTTCCACTGACATTGCTGGCCAGAAGCCGGCTGTGAAAGTTACAAATGATGATCAATGATCCCAGGATCCTGCAACCATCCTAAATACATGCTGTTTGCCAAGCACTCAAATTTCGATCATGTGATGGTGGGGATGCTGTATTGGTTATAAGTGTAAGGACCAGTCATAAATCACTTTTTTTTCAATGCCATTGTAATATTGAATAGTTGAGAAGTACCTGTATTCAGGAATTAAAGATATGGATATCAATGTAAACTATAATCATCTGTCACGCTTCAAGTATTGATTTTTCCTCCTACAACAAGAAACCCAATTACTCCAACAAGCTGCAAGCCATCATTACAGCTACCAAAGGGGAACCAGTTGGTCCAACTGTCATTAAGTGCAAAGGCTGTAGTCAAATACCAGGTTTTGGATTACCCCTAGTAGCTACTCCTAAAGAGCACCAAATGCTACAATGCTTTCTCCCAAATTATTCTAAACGGCCATTTTTTCCAAAATGCCACTTTCAAAAATAATCTGCAAAATTCAGCTGCAGGATAGCCTGATGAAAATCTCTCGACTAAGCTTGGGATTAAACAGTTCACCAGGAGTGACCCAATATTTCAGGTAGGGGAAATAAAAAAATATTTTATTTTCTTGGGCTCCAAGATCACTCAGAGGGAGACTGCCACCATGAAATTAAAAGATGCTTGCTTCTTGGGAGAAAAACTATGGCAAACCTAGACAGCATATTAAAAAGCAGAGATGTCACCTTGCTGACAAAAGTCCGTATAGTCCAGTGATGGCGAACCTTTTAGAGACTGAGTGCCCAAACTGCAACCCAAAACCCACTTATGCATCCTCGAGTGCCAGGTGGGTGTGGCCCATTGGCTGGGTATGGCCCATTGGGTGGGCGTGGCTGCAGTGGTAATGGCAGACTGGGTGGGACTAAAAAGTTCAATCAATCAATTCCAACTTTGCAAGATCTTTTTTTTCCCACGAGAAGTTGAAATTGACTGATTGAATCTTTTTTTTTTTTTTTGCACACGGCGGCGGAGGCCTAAAGCGAAAAAGTTTTATAAAATCCAGCTGAAGGCCTAGAACTAGGGCGACAGCGCACGTGCCCACAGAGAGGGCTCTGAGTGCCACCTCTGGCACCCGTGCCATAGGTTCGCCACCACTGGCTATAGTCCAAGCTATGGTTTTCCCAGTAGTAATGCATGGCTGTGAGAGTTGGACCAAAAGGGAGGCCGAGTGCCAAAGAACTGAATTATGGGGTTGGAGAAGACTGCAAGGAGATCTAATCAGTCAATCCTAAAGGAAATCAAACCTGACTGTTCTTTGGAAGGACAGATACTAAAACTGAAGCTCAAATACTTTGACCATTTAATGACAGGTGGTGAGACTCATTGGAAAAGATCCTGATGTTGGGAAAGACTGAGGGCAAAAAGAAAAGGGTCCACTGTAGAGGGTGAGCTGATTAGATAGTGTCATCAACGCAATGAACATAAATTTGAGCAAATTTCAGGAGACAGGGGAGGACAGGGGAGCCTGGTGTGCTATGGTCATGGCATCACAAAGAGTCGGACGCGACTTAGCGACATAACAACAAAGAGCAAAAAAATCCTGGGGGACCGAAGGCAAAGCGATCCTTCTGTCCTGTTTGGCAGGGAGGCGTCTCAACTCGGGCGTGTACAACGGACTTCTCCACTGCCGGCATTCAAGCACAGGTTGCACCCATGCCCTACCCTGCAACAGCACATCTGACAATTAACAAGCTTAGCAATCCTAAGAGAAAAAGAAACCATCACCTGGAGACCGATAATGGGATTTTGAAGGCTTGAGGTTCCAGTTCTTAAATGCAACCCGTGAAAATCTCGGAATGGAGGCATGCAAAGTCTCCTGCTGCCTAAGGACACCGACTTAAGGCAGACTACCTACCTGTTGCTTTCAGAACCTTCAAAAGAACCGGAGGTCCCGAACCGTCCCCGACTTCCTTGCGTTCTGTTAAAACGAAAGTACCTTTAAACGGGAAGTAGCAAAGCACGATAGGAGGCGTGCACCAATCCGCGACAAGCTAGTTGAGGGAGTAGCCAATCAGAAGCTTGGCTGAAGGAAAATGGCTGTTACGAGGACATGTCCTCCTCCCTGTTCTGTATAAATAGGCGGCAGGAGGAGGGGGGGGGGAGAGAGAAGGTTTTTGAGTCCAGGGATAGTTTTCATTTTCATTTGAGAAGTAACTGTTCTTACTCAGTTTGAAAAACTGCTCGGCCAGCACTGTTATAAACAATTAGCTGGGCGTAAATCATATTGAATTCTGTGGCAGGTACGACTGACTGCGTGAATGTTTGCTTTAGATTAGATGCGCGCAGGAAACTGGCACAGATGCGAGACAATTCCAAGCAGGCAGGCACGAACTTGGATGGTAAATAGTACTCAAAATATTTTCAGAGGCATTAAGGCTTCCGAAATGAATGCCACTATATCAACATATTGGTCCCTCTAAAGAATTATTATAATCAATTAGGTCTTCAAATGCTTGGTTTCAATTCTGAAGGAGTGGAACTCCTTTATCTGAAGCAGGATGTTACACTATGTTACCCTTACTTGGAAGCCTTTTTTATTTTTTAAATATTTTTATTAAATTTTAAAGTAGATTAAACACTTTCTCTTTACCCTTTTCCAGTTTTCTTCTTGTTGTTATCTGTCCACTTGAAAATTTAATAAAAACTATTTTAAAAAGCTTGTTTCCAAAAAAGACTTCAGCTGAACCTAATTATTCACCTTAAATTCCAGCCTTTGGAGAATACATCACTAGGCAATTTTTAAACCTGACACTCAGTTGAGGGAGATGTCATGTAGGTCACAGGCATGAAATTGCTGCCAGAAGAAAACATCTTCAGCCATGCTATCCTGTGGTTTCTTTAACCAACCGAAATCGGCCTCATACTAAACCAAAATCAAGCCAAAGCCCTGGCAGAAAATCCTAATTCACACTTCGACCAGCAATTGGCTTAAGTTCTCCCACAACCTTATGGCAAACGTGCATAAAAATCAAACTGAAAACTTCGAATTTAATTGCAGCGCAGAAACAGGAAAGATGATCCGTGTAGATTTTCTTTGTGCAATTTAGTTTAGCTAGACGATCCAAGGACTACCAATGCCATCTACCCCAGCCTGGCGCCTTGGGACTACAACTCCCATGGCCAGGCTGATGGAAGGTTGCCTTAGTCCCCTAGCCTGCTTGGGGGGGGGAGGGGGGAGAGGTTACCAGCATCTACCGGTACTGCAGAGTGATCAGTTCGGTTTTATTTCTTCCCTGTATCGGATTTCTCCGAACAAAAGCAAAATATGGCGATGCCAGGCACATGATAAACGATGCCAAGATAAACATTTTCTTGTTTATCTTTTATTTCTCAGCTTTTATTCTTTCCCCGTATGAAGAAGGCGGATCTAAGGTTTTTTCCATCCCGTTGGCGGGAGGGGAGAGCTGTATCTAGAACAGCCTAGCCACGTGTTTTCTAGGAAAGAGCGCCGGGTCTCGGAAAGCTGGTGCAACGAAACTGAAAGTTAAAAAGGATCCGGAAGGGGGATGGGTTTTGGCTTTATTTTTATTTATTTTTTGCTTTTGGCAGAAGAAAAAGATGTTGCTTTACCAAAACTCTCCTCTGTACATGGGCGCATTAAAAGAATCCCATAACAGTATTTGTAAGTCGGCGAATAAGGAAATCCACGGAAGTCGGCGAATAAGGAAATCCACGGAATAAGGAAATCCACGGAAAATGAGATGACCATTTTCATTTTGCCTTGTCTGCTCGACCATAAACGGGGGCGTCAGGCTTTCGAAGGGACGCGCTCCGACTTCTTTGTACTGTACAGGGGTCCCTCTCCAGCATATATGAAGTGTGTATGATGTACAGAAACGAGGAAGAAACGTGAGAGTCTGTGCGTGTGAGTGCTTTTTGCTCACCAATTTGGACATCTAAAAAGTTCCGCAGCCTTAAAGTATCAGCATCATATATTCCACAAATAACTTGTTTAGGCCTGCGTAATATGTACCTTGTATTTCCTCTTATCAAAAAAAAAAAAAAGATTCAATCTAGAACTAAGAAATTTCCTTGTTGTGAGAACAATTAACCAGTGAAATGGTTTGCCTCCAAGAGATTGGACAGCCGTTTGTCCTTAATGGTATAGGATCTCCTGTTTGGGCAGGGGGCTGGACTAGATTCTAGAAGATCTCCAAGGTCCCTTCCGACTCTACTGTTCTGTATTCTGTAGACCTGTCGCCAATAAGCGATTTAAATTAAAACAGACCTACACGAAGCCCCCTAAAGAGATGTTGTTTGTAAATTATCAGTTTCCTTTTGGTGTTTGATTAGGTGATAAGTTTCCATACCAGCAGGTTTGAAAGGTGTGCAAGGCTAAAGTTTAGACTTTTCCCCTTAATCGGAACCAACAGGTCAGCATTTATTTATATATACATTTTTTACCCCGCTTTTCTGCTATCTCCTTGCTCAAGTGAATATAAAGGACTCACTATAACAAACATGAAGGCATTAGCAAATATCCATACAATGCAGTAATGCCAAATGTGTGGTGCATTAAGACTTTGGGACAAAGACTTCCCAGTTTATTGATATAAGACTCCTGGTGAGAACTGTGTATCTCTTTCTTACCCCAAAATGCCGTAAGAGAATGCCTGTGGGAATGGGAAGAGTTCTGCAGAAAACCCAAACGCCAACCATTTCCTTTCTAGCTATTTTCATTCGTCCCTTACTGTATCCCCTGGAACTCAAATAGGTTCCTTTGGCTGATCTTTAACTTATAGTAAAGGGAAATGGGGTGTCATGTCCTACCTAAGGAATGTTCCCTACAATGTTTCCTCCATCTCGGCTGGATTAAAGATCTCATAATTCTCAGTCAATGTGGCCACTGGCCCTACAGCCTGGGGGCCCATAGCTATGTCAGTCCAAGGCTATTATTATATGGTGGAAGGATGAAGCTAAGATGGCCAGCTTTTATGTATGTACCCAACACTTCAGGTTTTACAATTAAACAGGGATTGACTAGGCTGCTCTCATTCTCGTGAAATATACATCCAAGGATAATGTTGCAAGATATAATCTGGGTCAGTCACCAGGACCAGAGGTTTAGTTTTCCAAGCTTTCGGACTCGTGCTGAAGTGTTTTGACTCTTTCTAGAACAGGAGAGATGCCAGGATGCCACAGTGCTCATAATGAACAAGCTACCAATTAGTACACATCCTTCCTAGCTGACAGAAAAACGGAGATGTATCAGTGCTTGTCTGATTGGTCCCTCAATGTGCCCCCTCATTTCACATGGGGAAGGGGAGACTCCTTTCTTCTCTGTAAGAACATAGCACTGCTGCTATTCTGGCCTGTCTGGGGGAGACCACCAAACTACAGTTTTAAATATGTGGAACCCTTGACCAATTCTGCTGTTCAATCATTGCATCGGAATAATGGGAGCTGAGACAACTGGTAAACCAGACATTCTTCAAAGAGGCATGCAGAACAATAGATTTCAGCTCTGGTAGTTGCTACTTGGAGCAGAAGTTGGAATGGGCAGTAGGAGAAAGGTAGGACTCACCTTGTCTAATGGAGAGAAGGCACATTATGGAAGCAGCTTTGCACACACACACACACACACACACCTGGCACAGCCTTAGATAAAATGGCTTATCTGGCATAAAAGTTTATATTTATGGCTGAGAAGCAATTAGTATTTGGGACTTTCCGAGTTCACCACTTTCATTATTACCCATTGTGCTGCTTCAGTAGTTCTGAACATAGCTGACAAATATTTCTAAAAACAAATCAATGGCATATATTGAAATACTTTTTTTTTGTAATCGCAGTTTACGAAGACAGCCTTTATGGGGATCCCTTTGATGGTGATAATCTTGGCAGTCAAAGCAAAGGGGACAGCACTTTCTTGCAGACTACTGCTTCTTATAGTCAGTTGGTCTTGATAACATCTATGAAGGCAAAAGGAGAGGGATTTTCCAGAAGCACAAAAGAGTTTACAGTAATGAAAAAACTGGGGCAGCACAAGAATCTGACCTACTTGACACACAAAACAGTTATGCTAAGGTCAGCCAACTTTGCTTTGTCGACATTTAAAAGCTTTGCGGGCATCATGAAAGAGGACATTTTTATTTCTATGGTTAATAATTGGTCTTAGAATGCTGTTGGTTTCACTTTACATTGCCCAGCTGTTTTATAATAATAAAGGTTAGAACGAAAACAATACATTACTGTAGCATTTTCATCTCAAAACATAGTTCATCTCAAAATTTTCCAGGAGGCAAAGTGCAAATTGATGATAAAGAGATGCCAGATCCTTTTCCTCCCTGCCTGAAGTGCCCAAGGCTGGATACGCTGCAACGTGCTTTAAACTAGTTTCAGGCCGGTTTGAAATTCATAATAAACCAACTTCATTTTGTTTTTAGGTGTAAACTGTAAACTTGAATCTTCATAGCTGTAAACTTTAGGGATTTTCATGAAGTCATAGAGTTATGTCAAAAAGGCAAATACCTTCCCCCTTATGCATTCTTCTTCACATTAGACTCCACGAAGACTTTTCATAGCAAATTTGTCTTTCTTACTATTGCTTTTGCTTTTGTAAGGAAGTCATAATTGTTAACACAGAATTGCACTAAACTGAATGTCCTCATGTAGAAACCCTTTGTGTGAAGGTCAGTGGATTTTATCATAGCAGTGGCAAAATTTAGACGAAGATTCCCATGGCAAAGAGCTTGACGAGTGATATAGATTACTGTATACGATTGCCCCCCTTCTCTACTTCTTTACCCTTCAAATCCATCTCTGGTTATCCCATAAAGGCAGCCTCTGCAAAGACTAGTAAAATGGCCTGTGATGAAATCAAGTATAAGATACCCCCCCACCCTTTGCTAGAGTGATTTTTCTCTAAAGATGGTAGCTAACCTTGAGAGTTAGGGTAGCACAATGAGAAGGAGACAGGCTCAAAGGGATAAGCTGCTTGAGGGGATAAGGCAGTGGTTCTCAACCTTTTTAATGCCGCGACCCCAACCGGTCGTAAGTCGAGGTCTAAACCGGTAGTATGTCGAGGACTACCCAACCGGTCGTAAGTCGAGGACTTTCCCTGCCCGGGAGCGCCACGCATGCGTGGTTCCACCCCCTGTGCCGGCCAAGGCGTAGCTGGCAAGCGGCAGAGACGGAGCAGGCCGACCACCAGCTGGCCCAGCCCAAGGGAGGTAAGGCACCCGCCGGAAAAGGGGGAAAAAATGGCGGACAAAAAAATGGCAGACAGCCTTGCTTGGCGACCCCCGTGAAATGGTCAATCGACCCCAAATGGGGTCCCGACCCACAGGTTGAGAACCACTGGGATAAGGGAAGATAATTGGGAGTTTATTCTTCTGTAAAAATTAAAGACAGATAAGCTTGCACTAGTTTGAGTGTTTCTTAAAATGTTAAGAAACCCAATTTCACCAAGAGGGTGTTCTTGGAGCTACAAGTAAGTAGTTCAGGGGCCACATGGAAGAATACTATATATACCGTAGGAAGTGTACTATGATTTCAGTTATTCCTGCCATTCCTGGTTCTATAGAAGCATTATGTGATTGTAATTTTTTTTACATTGACTATGGTTTTAATAGAATTCAATACATTTTTAGATATTGGGGAATTGTAAGAATGGCTGGAGTGGAGAGACCTATAAACAGCATAAACAAGTAACTCAATAAATAAAGTTAGAAAGTATTTATATAAAATCAGAGTTTTGTCAACAGCATTGGAAAGATATAGCATAATAATGTAGCATGCTATATAAATTTAAAATACTGGTAAGTATTTTGTTTCCTGATTTGGAACATCACTTTCTGGGGAAATTAGATAATCCAGGGGCTGCTTTGGATTTCAGCTGTCTGTCAATTGCATTTTGTTATTATGGTAACCTGGTTTTAAATAAAAATCTACAATATATAATGTGTTTCACTTTTAATCACACTGCTGCTGAATTTCCATAATATGCTGTCTTGAAACTTTGTCACTTGTACACAATTTGGTTTAAAAGCATACTGAACTATTACAAAAATTAGGATATATTGAGAAAGCATAATCTTTGTGGATGTGTGTGGATTGGACTAAGCATCTGACCTAAACTATTAAACTGAAAATACTGCATTAATCTTGCACTTAATAGAGTTGTGTATTTCACTTCCTATTCTTTACACGTGAAGTAATGTTTTTATTTTCAGGTTTGAATAAATCAATTTCTCTAATATCTAAACTCTGGAAATGAAAAATATCTTATTGAATAAGCCACAAGTGAATAGGTCCGTGGAATAAAATTGACCATAATTTTTGGTTTATGTAATTATCAATATATACACGATAAATCATATTAACAACATTAGAGTTCGTGTGATGTGAGAATTCAGCCTAGTTACATCAATAAAAGTTTGAACAGTACAGTATACTATATGACGTTCATTCTAGCCATGTCAAATCATTATCTGAACCAGATCAAATATTTAAGCAAATTAAGAGTTACGGTCAATATGAGCATTCTGTATATCTCTTGGAAAAATATATTTATTCTACAGGAAAATTAAGAACATTGTCTTATAAACATATATTAATACACACAAACGTTCATCTGTGTTTTAAAATCTTCAGTATCTGTCACTCAGCTGCATATGGAGAATTCAACTGCAAGAGAACAAAGATATAAGTTTGTTGGAATTAATAGATATTTTTTCTTAAATGCAATATGAACCACAGCTTCTTGAAAATAATTAAAATGCCGATTTGACTCAACTTATTCTTGTAAGTAATTAAAAAAGATGAAAATGCCATGGATATAATGATTGGTACTGCTTAGAAGTTAAAAGACATCGGATTTTAATGACTTCTCAAGTAAGCTATTTATTTTAATTAGTATCACAGATGTCTTCAACCTCATATCATTCAGCTTATTTGAAAGGAGAAAAATACTCAGGCATTTTGTGTCGTTGTGTACAGCACAGTGAACATGGATAGGAAAAATAAAAGGGAGATATCTGAGGAGGAAGATAATGGCCAAGGATGGTAAAGGGAAAAGTTATAAAACCATTTCCACACAACTCCTTGTTCCTGTATGCTAATATTATCAGTAAGTTTAAGATCCATGGGACAGTGTGGCTGCAAGAGGAAAATTGACCCCATTATGAACAGAAAGACAGTTTGAATGGTGGGAGAAAGAACCAAGGAAAACGTCAGAACAGATCCTGGCTGACCTCCAAGATCAAAGTACAACAATATCGAATTGTACCATCCAACACTATCTATCTGAAAATGGCCTTCATGATAGAAGATCCAGAAAGATCTCACTTCTGAAAGAGACACAAAAATCCCAGAGTAGAGTTTGATATAATGCATGTTGACAAGCCACAAGTCTTTCCGGACTTTGGACAGATGAAACAAGAGTAGAGCTTTTAAGTAGGTCACAGCAGCTCTATGTTTACAGAAGATAAAACAACACTTTTAAAGAAAAAAACACCCTCCCTATTGTAAAACATGGAGGAGGCTGCTCCCTAATGTTATGGAGTTGTTTTGCTGTCTCCAGCATTGGGTGCCTTGAATCTGAGCAGGGCATTAGAAAACCAGAAGATTATCAAGGCATTCTGGAGTGAAACATAATGCCTAGTGTTAAAAAGCTCTGTGTCAGTTGCAGGTCATAGGTCCTCAGGCAGGATAATGATCTAAGCCAGTGATGGCGAACCTTTTAGAGACGGAGTGCCCAAACTGCAACCCAAAACCCACTTATGTATCGTTGGGTGCCGCGTGGGTATGGCCCATTGGGTGGGTGTGGCTGCAGTGGTAACAGCAGACTGGGTGGGATTAAAAAGTTCAATCAATCAATTCCAACTTTGCAAGATCTTTTTTTTTCCCTGCGAGAAGTTGAAATTGACTGATTGATTGAACCTTTTTTTTTTGTACACGGCGGCGGAGGCCTAAAGCGAAAAGGTTTTATAAAACCCAGCTGAAGGCCTAGGACTTGGGCGACGGCACACGTGCCCACAGAGAGGGCTCTGAGTGCCGCCTCTTGCACCCGTGCCATAGGTTCGCCACCACTGATCTAAGCCATGTATCTAAGAAAACCAAAAATGGTTAAAAAGCAAACATTCATCTGTTCTAAAGTGGATCTGAATCCAACAGAGCATTCATAGAAAGTGCTGAATCTCACACTTGGGAGAAGGAACCTAAAACTAACAGGAACAGTTTGTTCAAGAAGAATGGGGCAAATTGCCAATTGGGAAGTATGGACATTTTATTCAGAGTTACAGAAAGTACTTGACTGCAGTTATTGTCTCAAAACACTGTGCTACAAAATATCTATGAAATAGATTGGGGTACCAGTAATTATGTCCATGCCATTTTCATTTGTTTTGTTAAGTAACCTTAGGTTGCAATGCAAATGAGACTGGAATTTCCATTGCTAAGCAGTGCGGTTATAAAGCTCAATATCGCATGAGTACATCGCTTAGTAACAGCAATCCCAGTTTCTGTTGCTGTCATAACCCCCAAGGGCCACATGAGTCATTAAATAAGAACTTCACATGACCACAATGTGGGAAGACCAGGGAGTCCCAGACTAGTAAGCTGGCAGGCAAAAGCTATGGTCAGGTGGGTGCTACAGAGTGTGAATGGGCCAGTAGTTGCTATGGGTGGGTGCTATGGAGGGTGAACAAGTGCCACAGATAGAAGTTCCTGGGAGAAAAAGTGGGCAGGAACAGGAGAGACTTGCAACTTCCTGCCAACTTCCCTATTGACTTTGTGGAAAGCTGGCAAGGAAGGTCGCGTATGATGGTCACGTGACTGCAGGAAGCTACAATCATCATAACTGAGAGCTGGTGGCCAAGTCTGAATCATGTCAGGACTTGCAGGACAAGCAGTAAGTCTCCCTTGTTCAGATCCTTCATAACTTTGAACAGTTATTAAACGAATACTTGCAAGAATATGTTAACTTGGCATCAAAAGTGAAGTATCTACTCCATAAGCTATAGAATAAAATTGGTGGATGCCATTTACTTTTGTCAAGTTCAACTTATTTCATAGCAAATTGGGATTCTTTGTGAAAAAGTGGAAGAGTACCAAAGGGCACTATATTTGTATCTGCATCTGTAAAACTTAAGGTAAACAGAAATTAAAGAACAATGTTAAGGGGTGGAACCAGATGTTGCAAAATAAAGTAGCTCTGACAGACAGGTTGTCTGAAGAAGTACCAGTAGGTAGCTAAACATTTGGGCTAAAATATGTTTTGAATAAACAACATCCATAAACATTTCAAAATGCTATTACTGCATTCAGAATTATTTTGTGCATGCCCATCTCATTAGTTTCCAGAGAGGGAAACTGAAATTAGTGAAAAAGTATTTGAAATCTATAAGGAGTAAAGGTCTGGCAAGAATTACAAAAAAATGTTTAAATTTTGAGTCACTAATAAACCAACAGAGATATCTGCAGGATGAAAAAAATTAGGAAAATGCATTTCAGGGATAAAAGCAATTTTCTCTGCCAAAGAACATTTCTCTCTGAAGAACTGTTTTTTTAAAAAAAATATAATATATTCCAATTTTTAATCAATATATTTTATCTAGTTACATCTCTATTTTTAGCCCAGGTTCTAAGCTTCTGAATAGTTTCAGCATCTCTTTTTTCAGGAATCCACCTGGAATATTAATCTAATGCTGTTAATCTTTGGGGGAAGCTTTAATAATTGTTATTGCATTGAGCCACCAATGTCCTTAAATTGGTCTTGTTTCTAAGGAAACAATTTGAGTTGCAACAGCCCAAAATGACTGTGATATAACCAGAGTGTCTGCCTTTGCAAATGTACCTTCTGCTATATTTCCACTTTCAGTTGCATTTACTTGTTTGTAAGGTGTTTTTCACCTTCCTGGACTGACTGTTTTAAGTTCTGTATATTCAAGTTGCTATCATTCCTCCAATGAAGATATTCTCAGCAGCAAAAACTTAGCGATGTATGAAGAATCAAACTAAAGAAATAGCAGGTTGTTGCAAATCAACACTCTTTTATTAAACAGTTATAACAATAAGTTCTGATAATTCAAATAGCTGATTATTTCTCAGGAATCAAACATTCATTTTGTTCAGTACCTGCTTGTAAATAAAGTAAAAATAAACAAAACCTGCAACGTACAGCAGTTTCCATTACAGAAGGGCTCAAGTGTTCTCTCAAAACAGCATAGACACTTGGTGACATGGGAAGAAGATCTGATGGAGAAGGTGGATCTGTGGAATTATTCAGACTTTAAAAAAGAAGACAATTATGTTTAGTAAACACGAT